ACTGATCCTTGTCTGAAGCAGACTTGGACTTGGGTCGGAGGTAGATGATGGATGCGCAGCCGTAGTGGACAAAGACCACTGTGAGGTGAGAAGCACAAGTGGCAAAGGCCTTCCTCTTGCCCTCGGCTGAGGGGATCTTCAGAATGGTGTTGACTATGAAGCCGTAGGATATGAGGATCAACAGGAAAGGCACCATGATCACCAGGATGCTGAGGCTGAATAGTGCCAGCTCTTTGACATGGGTGTCAGTGCAGGCTAATTTGATAACAGGTGCCATGTCACAGAAATAGTGGTTGACCTTGTTGGGGCCACAGAAAGGCATGTCACAGATAAGATTTGTAGCCACCAAAGCAATGAGGAAACCGGTGAGTCCTGACAGAGAAACCAACCCCAGCCCCAGCCTTTTGTTCATAATGAGCGTGTACCTCAAGGGGTGACAGATGGCTGCATAGCGGTCATAGCCCATCACTGCGATGAGAAAGCAGTTGGTGCAGGCAAAACCCAGGAAGAAGAAGAGTTGGGTGGCACAGGCCACAAAGGAGATTGTCTTAGTAGCTGAGAGCAGGTGGGCCAGAAGCTGAGGGATGATGACAAAAGTGTAGCAAGATTCAGAAAATGAAAGGATGAACAAGAAAGCATACATAGGAGTGTGCAGGGTGTGGCTGAAACGGATAACTGTCATGATGGTCACGTTGGCCATGAGGATGGTTAAGTACAGGAGAAGAAAGATGACAAACAGCAGTAGCTGCAGTTCCCCGAGGCTGGAGAAGCCCACCAGGATGAACTGTGTAACCACGGTGGTTCTGTTGAAGCTTCGCATCTGGATAACTTCTCTCTGAGTGAAATTGGAGAGACAAAATGACATCATTGTAATAGAAACGTTTTCTTGAAATATATTTCTAGACTTAAGAGAATTTGTCATTGTCTCTCAATCCATCTAGGTATAGATGACCTCTTTGGCTTGTTTTTGGTATGAAATTGCTAATCTTGCTGGGTGCTGGTGGTTCATGTCTGTAATTGTAGTTATTCAGGAGGCTGAGGTCTGAGGATACCAGTTTACACCAGTTTGGGGTGTAATTGGGGAGAGACAAATCAGAGATACATTTTTTCAAGGATTTGTTTTGATTTTAGTGTTTTCATTGTATTTTTTATGCAAGCTAGACTTTGTTTTTTTCTCTTTCTTTCTCTTTTTTAAAATTGTTTTTGTATAGTTGATATACAGAGGGGTTACAGATACATGAGTTAGGTCAGACTCACAACCACCAAAAAGTTGGGAGTGAAGGTATGATTCAAGTGATAGAGTGCTGGGCCTTGAGCAGAAGAGGCAAGTGAGTATGCAAGGCCCTAGTTCAAGTTCAAACCTCAGTACTGGAATTAAAAAGAAAAAAGGAAAGAAAGAAATTGTTTATCTGTATTTTAAGGAATAAATATCTTTATCTCAAAGGTTAAAAAAAATCACTTAACGAAATGGGAAAATTTCCCAGATCAAGAAGAATACTATCTTCAGTAAGGAAAAAAACAACTTAAATTAATTTTCTTATGTGCTCTTGATTCTGTGCTATCCTGTGTGTTGGTTTCTTTCAGAGTGATCACAATTCATTTTGTTAACATTATCATAAGGACATTAAAATGCTGGGCCTTGGAGTATAGACTCAGGAAATAGAACACAAGAGTTTGAATCTTGCCTTTGGCGGTTAAAGCTTAAAAACTTCATCAGGATTTGTGATCTTTTTTCCCATTTGTAAAATGTAAATTACGATACTGCTTAATATAGGATTGGTAAAAGAATTAGGTAAGATAATATAAGTAAAATATTTGAAATGGACGTAGCAAATACTACTTGCTGTTTATTTGGTATGTTTTTGCCTTTGTCTCAAATACTCATGTTTATAAGATTTGAAAGGCACCCTATGCTTAAGTACCAGAACTTAAGACTTTTTATTTATAATCTACTTTCTACCTTTACATTACATTACATTCTTTACATTATCAGATTTCCTGGCCATGTCCCTTTACCAAGAGATTAAATAGTTCCAAGTGCTGCTTGTTCATGCAAAACTAACATCATTTCCACCTTCTCTCTTTGCATTATAATGACTCACATTTTAAATGCTACCCAATTTTAAAATAGATTTATGCTTTATTCTTTCTAATTCTAAAGTTCATGAGACAAGAAAAGGTGACTGGAGAGGAGGAAAATAGGTAAGTCAAAGATATATTTGGCTTGGTGAATGTACTCAAAGGTAGGTAGGATCACAAGGACTGGACTTATGGTCAATCACAGCTTTATGAGTCCTTTCAACACTCCCCTAAATCGTTAGTTTCTTTTTTGTGTGACTTAACCAAAATTTGGTTATATGCACAGGTATTTTGAAAGGGATCATAGGCACACTTAAGTATGAATATAAGTATGAAAGGTATTTTTATACCTTTTTATGCTGTTTTGTGTGAAACACAGACATACAAACATGTGTCTCATATACAATCCCAAACATGTATCTCATTTATAATCTCCTTCATATCCATGTTTGTCAATAAAACTTCCAGGACCCCTGAAACCTTCCTGGAAGCTCTTTCTCTTCATAAGACCAAAGATCTTAAAACTGTGCACATATGGGTCGTAGACTAGGTTCTACTGTGTACTTCTTTATAATTAACTTGTCCATGTAGAAGTCTCATATCCCTAAAGAGACTGTTAATTTGAGGCAGGATTGATAACAATGTATTGTAGATGCTATGCAGTCCTCAAAGCAGTATAGAGCACATAAGAGACTCTAAGAGAATACTTAATAAATGATGATATTAATTCTCCTTCTGATTTTTCATTTTCTCATATGCTATCACTTTTTCTAACGTAGGTTTTTACGATTTTCTGCTATGGTCCATATCATTCCTAAATTTTAAATTTTTTCTCAAGGTCATCTTTAATGTCAGAAGAAGAATCTATACTAAGGCTTTCTGGCACTCATTTACTTCTATTTCTTGACTCCTTAGCATTTCTATTTTATATATTAAAATATAGTGTGTGTGGACATGTGCCTGTATTTCTGTGTGCCTATCCAACCAGAATTGAAATTCCTTTCATTGCAAGACTAGAACAACTATAGCTTAATTTTAGTGAATATTTTGCATAACAATGAAAACTATGCCAGTGTATTCAAATCTTAGTAGGAAATAGTTCTTGCTTCAGATGGCTATTGACAAAGAAAGTACACTTAAACATTTACCTCCAAAAGATCAAGAAAGATGACATGTGACTTTGAGCTTGGTGACTTTGTCTGGTAGGTCTTGTGAATGTTGAAAGAGGACGCACAAAGTCAGTTGCGAAGTAATGCCATCTTCTCTGAAAGATTAAATGAACACCTCTCATAAAGGATTCATTTGGATGTTTAAGTGTCCCAAATCTCCAGGTTTTAAATAAGAGGCTGAAAATAACCAGTCTATATTCATATATCAATTCTGATTCTATAATTGGATTGGACAGCCTTCTGGGATTCTAAGGACTAGGGGCCTCTGAGATTTAAACAGAGCTTAGGAGGAGAGAAATTAAATGACTACATTTGGACAAGGATATCACATTTAATACTAGAAGAGATATTCATATTTGATAAATAAAACATAACTAGACAAAATAAAAATACTCTTCACATCTGCAAAGTACTTGACACTAGATATTCTTTTAGCTCAGGGAGTTTATTTGTTTAGGATCTGCTTCATAAATACAGCAATCTTGGGCCTTTTGAAGAATTATATAGGCTGGGCCTTTTTTGCTTCTATATATATGGCCTGCATAAAAGCTCAGATGACTAGATCTCTTAATTCTGTCTGTGGAATTATTGAGAGGGAATGACTTCTATTCAGTACTCATTCACTGTGTGATTTGGGGAGTATTATAATAGGCATTACAATGATAAGAAGATAAATTATGTGAACTGAACTGATGTGTAGGGAAGACAGAAGCAAAGCCAACAGGCAGAATGAAGAAGGTGCCAATGAACCCCAGGGCAGCTGAAGCATGAGTACCACCAACAAAGATGTTATTGAATACATTCAGGGCTAAGATTTATTTATTTATTAATTGATTAATAAGTTTTTTTATTGTGAAAATACCATACAGAGAGGTTACAATTACATGGGCAAGGTAATGAGTACATTTCTTATCAAGCATTGTTGCCTCCTCTTTTTTCCCCCTTACCATCCCTGCCTTCCCATCTCCTCCCACCCGCCTTGCCAAAGTTGTAAAGTTTGTTTTTTGACATAACGTTTTGTCTTTTTCCTTCCCCTCCACAAACTATACCAACATCAAATACAGTGAAAACAGAGGTTATACCGTGGGGGAGGGATATATAAAGCAACAAAGAAATCATCTTATAAATATGTTAGAAACAATAGCAAGAAAGAAAAAACATTTGAGTCCTTATCTTGGGGTTCATTTTGCCTAGCATCAACTTATCTGACCATTTCTGCTTGTCTCAGACATACACTAGTTATTGCAAATAAGAAGGTGAAAATATAGTAAGTTTTCAGATCAAAATCATAGATATTACAGTTACATACATAAAGTAGTGAGTACATTTCTTGTCAAATATTGTTACCCCTTCATTTTTCTCAAACTTTCCCTGCAACCCCTCTGTCCATCACATTGACAACAAAATTAAATTAAAAATACTAAAAATTAAAAAAAGAAAGAATACCACTTTCCTATTTAAAAAAATCTGAGAGAAAGCAAAATTGTTTCTAACTAACCCTGGATGAATTTGTGTTTGCCAGAGACTAGACTTCTGAACACATGCATATTTCCTAAAACTGTTGTGCATTAGTTTTCACTCAACTCAAAATATTTCAATGGATTATAATTAATATGACAATGGTGAAAAGTGGAGGGAGAAATAATCTCTGCTTTTGAGCATGATGCTTGGTTGGTTGGTCATTTCCAAACTTCCTAGGAAATTTCTCTTGCATCTCTTATGCTTTGTTATTTGGAAAGATCAGAATCCAAATTAACGTTGTGGCACAAAAATGGTTCTTCCTACAACTCTGCGAAGAGCTGACTTGAATTCTTTATTCCTTAGGCTGTAGATCATTGGGTTGAAGAGTGGGGTTAGGATAGTGTAGGACACCGATATCAGAGCATCCTGGCTTGAGGAGGAGTCGGACTTAGGCCTCAAATAGATAAAGGAGGCACAGCCGTAGTGGACAGTGACAATGATGAGGTGGGAAGCACATGTGGAGAATGCTTTGTACCTGCCCAATGTGGAAGGGAACTGGAGGATGGCTGAGATGATGTGAATGTAGGATACCAAGATCAACAACAGGGGGATAACGAGGACCAATGCACAAAGCATGAAGATGGCCATCTGACCGGAGCGGGTGTGGTGAGAGGCCAGCTTGAGGACCGGGGAGATGTCACAGAAGAAGTGATGGAGTTGATTAGAAGAGTGGAAGGGCAGGTGGAATACCAAGGATGTGATGACCTGTGCCACAGTGAAGCCACAGGCACAGGCCGCGGCCACTAGCCCCACGCACACCCCACGCCCCATGAGCACGGTGTAGCGCAGCGGGTTGCAGATGGCCACGTAGCGGTCATAGCCCATGGCTACCAGCAGGAAGGAGTGGGAGCAGCCAAGAAAGAGGAAGGTGAACATCTGGATGGCACAGCCCAGGAAGGAGATGGTCTTCCTCTGGGCCAGCAGGTCCACCAGCATCTTGGGTACGATGACGAAGGTGTAGCAAGTCTCCGAGCAGGAGAGCACAGAGAGGAAGAAGTACATGGGGGTGTGCAAGGCTCTGTCCAGCACAATGGTGGAGATGATGATGGCATTGGTGCCCAGAGTGAACAGGTAGAGAAGCAGGAAGATGACAAAGAGCAGCAGCTGCAGCCTGGCCAGAGATGAGAAGCCCAGGAAGACAAACTCTCTCACCACTGTCTCATTGACCCACTCCATGAGCAGTGCATGATCAGGGGACTGGAGGATTGAGGAGGCGCGAGTACCCACAGGAATCTCTGAAAATCCATAAAGCCGACAGGAAACTGATAAATGCAGAGTGAGCATGTGTTCTCAGATTTTTGTCTAAACTCATCACTTCCTCTTCATTCCGATTTTCTAAAATTTGTCCAAAAATAAGTAAGTCTGATTGCGCAAGCGTTTGTCTTCACAGTAATTCTAACACCATAGTTAAAGTATTGATAATTTTCAGACTCAACTGATCCTTTGTCTCTAGTTCCACGGTGGGGCTGGGATTTAAATTCTTAGTGTTTCATTTGTAGCTTGTAGCTCTTGTCCATTTGGGTTGCCAGTACCCATACTTTCTCAATGCAACCTTTCCTACAATTGAATACACAGCCCTCCCACTAATAATCGCTTTTTGCTACAATTATATAATGTGTGTTAAGTTTAGACCTTTATCCTCCTTATGCTTAAACTCCTCTCAATTTTAATCTGTGCCTACCTATATTATCTCCTAGTTTGTTTTTCTTCTCGTTAGGAATTCTCAGTTCTACCGCCTCAAATTCTCATAAAATTGTATATAGTTTCTCTATCTGGGTATGTTCTGTTTCAAAGGCTGAAAAGAGTTCTTTTCTTTCTAAGTTACTTATTCTAAAATGGGACATCTCTCTGCTTCTCTAGGTTTTTTTCTCCCACAAGGAAAACCAGTCTTAGAGCCCTCCTATCCATTTCTACTACTTCCTTTAACTCATACTGAAATTACAGCTGGCCATCTTTTCTATTCCTCTATCATGCTCAAAGTTAGCACTCTACCACTTCAGCCATAGCTCCACTTCTGGCTTTTTTGTGTGGTTAAATGGGGATGAGTCTGTGGACTTTCCTACTTAGGCTAGCTTCAAACTGTGTTCCTCAGATCTCATCATCCTGAGTAGCTAGGATTACAGGTGATAGCCACTGGGGCTTTGCTTCTGAAGAGCTTTTCTGGTATGTACTGTGATTGGGAAAAGTTTTGTCCTCTGTCCCTTGCTTATGTCAATTTATCAGTCATCTTCATTTACAGATTATGTATATTCTGAAGCTTTGATGAAATCTGTGGTTTGGTCAAAGCTTTCTTTGTATCTCCTGATAAAAGGAATGGTTTCTCAAAACTCACACATCTAGTGATGTAAATTGTTTCTTCCTCAAAACCCACATATCTAACGAGTAAATGACATTTACTCAATTTTAACATATTGTAGTAAGTTGTTCTCATATCTTTCTTCGCCTCTAAATTTTGCCTCCTTTGAGGGAAAAATGTGAATTTTACTTATCTTTCCCTTAATACACCTGGACAGGCACAACTATATTATAAGCATCTGAAAGCATCCCTGTAAATATTGTTAGATTAAAATAAAAAGTGAGCTACCGTACTGTTACCAATTTTCATTCATGACATCATAGTTTTCTTAGGCACTCACAGAGTAAGAAAATCCTTAGTTTTATCCCGGGTAGAAAGACTGCCAAGAACCAAGAACCAACTCCTAAGGATTTCTGTATCACGTGGCTTAGATTCCACCCATTCAAACCTAAAAGAGAAATCATGGGGTTAGATAGGCCAGTGACACTGAAGGAAGCATCTGCTGTTTGGGAATTCGTTACGCCGAAAAGCTTTCCCAGTAGCTGGTGCCTCTGCTACCCTCTAGAGCACAGTGGAATCCAAGTCAGTGAGAGAGCTATGATGATGATACCCTCACTTTAATCCCATCTGGAAGCATACCATTACAAAGCTATCACATCTGCTAGTTAAGTAACCAAAACTTGGTAATACGTCCTACCTTAGCAGAGATCTGCTGAGTCAAGAACATCAGATTGCTACACAAGAAATATTAAGCACTATCATGACAATTACATGTCAGGTGCTGGGGATGTGTTAGCAATGCATGTATAAATAGGTTGCAGTCCAGGGCTTCAAGTTTCTCATGAGTCAAAGATGAGACACAGTCAGGAGAAGAGGTCATTATTCGAAAAAATGTGGTGACTGAATTGATGGTTATGCTCCTACGATTATGGCAGCATTCAAAATGCACCTGTTCTTGTACATCCTTGGGCAATAAGTTAAAACACTGATTTCTGAGTTTCCATATTTTTCTAAGGAGTGCTTGGCATATTAACACAGGAATGGGCACTATTTAGTTTTTGTGACTTTTAATTCAAGTATATAACGAATTTAGATAAACAGCATTGCTATCAGAAGAGCACTAATTGTTCTCTGGTAATTTCTGCTTACATAATTATGCTTAACCCTCCCTTCTCTGTGAAAGGAACATATGTCCTCTTCTTCCTCCATCTCATTCCTCTGGCTATTTATCCAGAGGTTTACATAAGATTTTTATTGACAAGTAGGTTGGTAGTTTTGCTATAGTTGTACCGTTATCTTTCTAATTTTAGAGTCCCCAATCTCAGCACTCATAGTGGATTTGTAATATCTGATCTGAGATTTTACCTTTAGAAAACTCATATAGCATTGGATAACGTAGGAATAAAAGAGATGTTGCTATCAGACAGATGTAGGAGTAAATCAAAACTCTGTCATGTTCTGTTTGGAAGACTATAAATTCCATGAAGCCTGTTTTCTCATTTCTATAGTGAGAAGAGCAATTACTGCTTTCCAAGGCTATTGGAAAGATTCAAAGGGAGTATTTATGTGAAAGGAGGCTAGTTCAGTAAACAGTTAATAAACACCTCATTTCCCTCACTTTCTTGTCATGGTTTCTGTAAGGGGAAATTTAAGAGGGATCTTTATTCCCTTGAGGTTCTTCATCTTGAGGAAAGTAACTTGGTTTTCTATTGAGCTCTGTTCGCACTGGGAAGAAGCAAGTCTTCCCAAGATTGAAACACCACACAAATACTTCGTTACTTGCTTGCTCAGAGCCATGCATACATGTTACCTACATCTGGCAGAAAACTGAAGGAGGCTTCCTAACTTTTTTATTTGCAGGGAAGGGATATAAATTTAGAAGATAGAAATTTAAGTAATCTTAGCCATATATAAATAAGGATTCTTCTTATAGATGCTTTATGATTATAGAGAACACATATTTTATGAAGTGTATTTGTTCAACTTGTTTAGACAATAATCTAGCTGTTTTCTGATCTCCTAAAGATTGGAAAATTATCTAAAAATTCTTATATTTCTGTGTTATTCTAAGTATTGCAGATAGAAATATGAACACAGGTACTGTTCTTTACTCAGAGAAGCAAGGATTCAATACGCATTTTAAGACAAATGGCCATACAAATTATAAAGAAGATTTCAAGACTAACAAAACATCCTGAATATCTTGAAGTAAAAAAAAAATCAGCTCACTTTAGGGAAAGTTTTAAGTGTAAATAAGATTTTAATATCACCTGTAAGTATTTTCACAGACATAATGTGTATATTGCTCATGTAGACATTTTGAATGAATGAATTAATCTTTTCCTTACTTCTTAAAAATATATTTTTATTGTTATTGTAAAGGTGATATACAGAGTAGTTTTGGTTACATAAGTCAGATAAAAAGTACATTTCTTTTAGAACAATGTCACTCCTTTTTCCTTAATTCTTATTGACCCTTCTAAAGTAAGAAAACACACCCTGTTCCACTGTTTACACGAGTGCACACACACACACACACACACACACACACATGCACACACACACATACACACACATACACTTAAAGGAAAACATATCTACAGTGGCTTGAAACAAGAGACATCTATTTCCTCCTTTTCCCCCCTGTACTAATTCCTTATAATAAGCTTCCTGTTGAGATCACAAATTTAGAGGTTATGAAAACTACATTCTTAGAACAAGCTAAGAAATTAGATATTAAGTATTGCCACCATAAAAATAGAAAATATGTAAGGTAGTCCACATATTAGCTAGACTGAACCATTTTACACAAACATAAATACTTAAAAACATCTTATACCTGATAAACACAACAATTCTTCAAGTTAAAAGAACCCCAAATGAACACAAACAATGAAGAGGTTCATTACATTCTTTGAGGAATCCTCATCCCAGTCAATCATTCTGATGTACATTATGTTTCCAGGAAGAAAACCTGGGAAAGGATTTTGGCTTCAGAGTAGCATCCAAATTTGATATTTGTTTTATTTTATTTTTTAAGAAATGTTACAGAGGTTAACATGTATTCCATGTTCTTTGTGTTGTATAATAGGGAAAAAATACTGTTATACGTGTTTTCTAAGTTGGTCCTTACAGTGACTTTATGAGGTAGTTATTAATCTCTCTCTCTCTCTCTCTCTCTCTCTCTCTCTCTCTGTGTGTGTGTGTGTGTGTGTGTGTGTGTTGTGTGCATGCCTGTGCATGCCTGTCCTGGGTCTTGAACTCCAGGCCTAGATACTGTACCTGAGTTCATTTTTGTTCAACGTTGGCACTGAGGTAGTTATTACTTTTAATATCAACATTATGAAGACGAAAAATTTGAGAGTCAAAGATGCTGTGGGCTGTGTTTAGGTTCACAGAGTGGTGTATCCAGCACTAAATAGAGTATAATCTGTGTTGGTGAGTGTGCCTGCTTTTGTGTGCATTATCTCTTTGGATGTGCATGTGAATGGGTATATGTGTCATGAGAAAGGGAAGACAGTATCCTGCCATTCTCCTTCTGTACAAAGATATTTAAAGAAAAAGAGCTCTATTACAATTTAGTATGGGTCCAGGTTCTAACTCCATCATTTATTAACTTTCAAGGTTTCTTTTGCAAATGTCCACAGGTACTAGTCCTGCAATTGTTACTTAGAATTAAAGTGGGTGGGGGCAGATAGCTGAGGTTTTGGGGAATAACTTCATTCTGCCTCTATCTTCATTAGTTAGAAGGTCTTTGCAGGTTGGCAAGGGTACTTTGTAGACATTGCCTATCATTCACACAAGAGGAGCTCTAGAAAGCTTGAGTCATAACTATTACAATCTCAGATGGTCTTAAGGAACTAGCCTAATAGTGTCCTTT